TGACTCTGGGGTGTGCATGTGCATATTCTCCTTTATATTAGCACAGCACCAGTGGCCCAAACCACCTAATTTCCTGGCTTTGTGCCTGGGCCACACAGATAAATTAGCCCAGTCCCAGTTTGCTGTGAAGCCCCACCAGGCCATCGCCCCCCCCTTGGGTAAAGCTATCGCCAGAGGTCCACCTTATTTATACAGGCATGGCAGGAATAATCTCCATCAGCTCTAATGTGCATTAAACGAGCAGCCATCTTCCACTCTGTGCAGATGTTAATAGAGGTTCTGCTGCAATGTCTATGAGTCAATTAGGAGCATCAAGCAGGAGTGGGAGCACAGGAGGACACCTTTAAACCACATCTGTGTCATGAGGTAATTTTTATGGAACAAACAGCAAATCTTTTATCTTGAACACATTGTGCTGCAGAATAACCTTTACATTCAGAATCACAAAGACGAATGTTTGTAGTTTGTTAAATACATAATTAGTGGTATATTTATGATACATTTCTTTGGGCTCAGCATTATTGTCATCACCAATTTTGCAAACACGCTGTCAATTTTCTACAATGCACAATAACACACAAACAGCAGAGGTTATATTAATGAATATTGATGGATATTATGTTATGGATAATAACCAGCCAAGTCTTTCTTCAATAAACACAATTCTGGAAAAAAAACAGCAAAAAAAAAAATAAATAAATGATATTGTCACTTTATATCATCTTTGTTGTTTGCTGCCAAACAACAAATGAAGGCCTGAAACCTGCTCTCTTCCTATCATCCGTTTGCACGCACACCTTTGACCTTTGCCCTTATACTGTACCACAAAGTTTTTAGTTTAATTGCATATGAAACAGCTATATAAAATAATAATTTTGAGGGCTAAATTATAGTTTGTGACATTTGAGATCATGCTACAGGGTGAACGGAGTAGGACGGAAGGACGAAAATGCCCCTGGGCTGGAAGTTTGAGTCCCCTAGCTCAAACACTGTTATATCTTCATTTAATTAATAAATTAACCGAAGAGTAAAAATGACAAGTTGTGCTTTCACAGGGATTTGCTAGTTAACACATTTTTTGACCAAGCCAGGCTAGCTGTTTCCCCATTTCCCCCTTCCTCTATTCCTTATGCTAAGCTAAGCTAATCGTCTCCTGGCTCTAGCGTTATATTTGATAGAGGCGTGTTCAGACAGAAGGAAACTTTTGTCTCATGTCATTTGAGGAAATGTAACTGCTGGACCGCCCCAGACAGTCAATATACCAACTGTGCAGTTAATGGCTCTAAGTTAAAAATGGACACACTAACTGCGTGTGTGAAAGTGTTTCTGTGTGCGTTTGTGCGACAGCTGAGCCCAGAACCCAGAAACTCTACATCACTGTGTTATGTTCCTAACAGTCTCTCTCCTTTTCCGTCTCTGTACATTTATGGAGCGGATTCATAAAGCCTGTGTTCTATCTGAACACACAGTAACTCTCAGCAAGAAAATGCAAAAGCAGGTTTGTATATTTCCTTAAATGTCAAACTATTTCCAATAATTGATCTTCAGTGTAAGGAAGGTCATATGTATATGTTAGAGAGCCTGTCTTGTAACGAACAAAGCTGACAAAACGTGTCCCAGTCACATAAACAAATGACAGCAGGCGTCCGTTTAACCTCTCTCAGCCACCCACCTAGCTTCTCCTAATACACGTTATTGACCAGCCAGGCAGGAGATGTGACCCGTCGGCTCTGGAAACAGCCACTTAGAGAGGGTCTTTGTGATCTGCCTCCCTGCTGCTGAATGCCTCTCATTGTGTGATTAATTGTGTGTGAAGCAGGCTGTGTGTGTCTTAAACTGGCTATTAAGAGAATATGTTGGAGGAACAGAGTGGAAGAAAGAAGCAAATAGCCTACATACTTTTTAGATTGCATAAAATGACACTTGTGCATATTAACAATAAGGCCGTGGGGATGCGCTGCTTTTGTGTATTAAAACTGAATGTCAGCATTAACTAAGAAAAGATCTCTTTTGACAAAAATGTGTAATAATTGTTGAATATGTTGATGGTTTCTGTGCTACATAATGATTCTGATCTTTTTCTGAAGTTTTTATTGTTAAAGTTCCTACAGACAACACACACACACACACACACACACACACACACACACACACACACACACACACACACACACACACAAAACTCATTTAACTGTAAGGTGGCCTCATTTCATACAGGAAATGAACCCATTATCACTGACATCGAGTTTGTCACGTTTGACAGAAACCAGAGTGTGAATAAATGTTGAGACACTAGAATGATGTGCTTTCTGACCTATTCAATTTGGTATTTTATCAAAATAAGCTTAAATATTTTCCAGCCTTAAGAAAGTTTGTTTTGCACAGAGAAAAGGTGTGGAAGATGACTAAGTTAAAATGTATTAATATTTGCGACCCTAAAAATCTTATCAGTTTCTTGGGAGTAATGCTGCAGTTGTGGGTTGTCATGGGTTGCAGAACAGACTGTTCATGTTCTGAATGCGTAACGTAGCCAGCAGCTAGTTTTTAGAGATGCTCAGTGAAAACCCCAGGATCTCAGTCTGGAACTGCTAAAGTATCACCTGCTGATGTGTAAAAAATGGCAACAGATTACTCTTCTAATTTAGTCCTGTATTAAGATTATACCTTAGATGACAGACAGCTACTTTGACAGTTAAAAAATACATAAATAAATAAACATATACAATCATTTCCATATTCATTTGACATTAATATGCAGTTTTTCTCGGTATGTAACTCACAGGAGAGACACAAGGGCTTCAACTGTCATTGTGGTTTAACGCCTACTGTTGCAGCACTGGAGCTATACCTGTGAATAAGATAAGGCAAACCAAAATCCACACTACTGATTATTAACCAGAAAATAAATTAACAGGTAAAGTTTACAGAATCCTGTAGAAATCCTATTCTGTAGACACTTTGTTTCAGTTTAAAAAACATTTGTGGAGCTGAAATTTAAAGAGAAATGATATTGGAATTAAATGAGAGATATTAAAGTCAATGGAAATTTGGGTTAAATAATGTAGAGGATCTACTGTACAAGCGGTAGTTAATGAATATGACAGAATATATCTGGGAACTCTTTTAAATGTGGAAAAATGTGGATGATGTAATGATAGGATAGAGTCAGGTATTCACAGAGTGGGATTATTCCTTTTTCATTAATTGTATTGTCCACATACGCTGCTACACTGTAAAAAAGAAATGTGTTATTATTTGATATAGAAACTGATTGGCGAGGTGTGCGGAGATGAGAACGTTTTTTATTCTTCACACAACTAGTTTAGTCACTTTTAATTATACATCTAATTGCAACACCATCAAAGTCTTTGTGGGAAAGACGGTCAAAAGTGTCCGCCATTAACCCCATCTGTATGAGGGGGAGGAGGCTTATGACGACAACCTTCTACACTGCCATCGAGCGGCCATTTGGAACAGGTACTGTAGAAACACCTTTCCCTCAAGATGTGGTTGGACCTGGTCTGTTTGAAGCATACTGAGGTCATAAGAGAGCATCACTATGTTCTAACTAATGGTTTCCATTTATATTCACTGGGAAATGTTTATGTTTACAGTCCCACTGCCACACGCCTTCTGTTAAGGCCCCTACTGCAGGAACCCAGGTCACAGCTCATTCAATATCAATTAGTCAAGAAACAGTGGAGACAGAGTGAGTCACAGTAGGAAGGAATGAAAATGTGCCCTGATAGTGATCAAAAGTTGTGGAGAAAGCAAAGAACTTTTAACTGGGGGCCTACCCTGGGCTGATAACCTGGAAACTATTTGTGGGCTGTGTGTTTGAGGTACAGCATGTTTCTGTCAGCTAATATAATGTGAATCAACAACAACTTGCTTCATTCATTCATAGCACTTCCCACGAGTAAATGTTCAGATGTCATTTAGGATAACAGCCACATGAGTCAATGGTTGGCTTTTATAGCAGAAAGACTTGCGCATGCACGCATTTATAGAAACTATGAAAGTAAATGATGCTTGCCTGTTTAAGAAATCAACACTGATCTTATCACCAGCCTTAATGAGCCTAATAAAACTTGCCTATTAAAAAGTACTAGGTTTGTCACTGGCGGTGTTAGAGTTAGAGGTGGTAAGATTAGGTTGGGTGAGGTTAGGGTGTAACGTCTTCCTGGATGATACACTGATTGAAACCTGAAGTGAGATCACAAATGTCTCACACATTGGAAGAAACTTTTTTGAACGACAGAAGAACATACTCTAAATTAATAAGATTCCTGTTTAACATGCTGATATCTATTGTTTTATCATTTCATATCCTAAAAATCCAACAATGTAATTGGACATTAATTGAAGCTCTTACTGACTTGTGTGACCTGGCATGACCTCTGACGATCTGGATGAGAGCAAGTGGGCTGCATGTGTGCTTAATGATGGGTGTCCATCCTGCACGAGCCTCATTCCTCACAGCCAGCTTCACTGTTTAAGATGCTCTGTGGCACTGGAGTTGCATAAGAACTTCAAGTTACGTAAGGTCAAGCTGTGTTTTTTCAAGCTGAGTCCAGGTCTTTCCAGAATCCAGAAAAACAACATGGTAAAAAGGCTCAAACTGGAGTAAGAGTTGATGTTGGTGGACAGCAACATAAACTAGCATGTAATGTAAATATGGTAGCACAGCTATCATAGCAAAAGTGAAAGCACCGTGGCTTTCAACTGGTGTGGCTTAATAATACACTGACTACATGCACAGCCAGAGCTGTGGAACAAAGAAGCTGGCTAAATTGACTGTATTTTATCATTGCATTAATCTTGCAATATATCGAATTTCTGGCCTGGAATACACCTCTTAAAATGTTCCAGAAATTCATAGGAAAATAATAAACACCAAACTAATACATTAGTCAGCAGACTCAAAAAACTTCCACATTAAAATAAATACTTATGCTCATACCATTAGTTGCCATTATGATGAAGACAGACAAATATAATTTTGTTTTTCTTCCTTTAATTGCAAGTTCACATGGTGATTTATGCATTGAATGTGTTACATTAAAAAAACTGCATTTTTAAAAAAAAATACCTGGATGTGGATATAAAAGACAAAATAAGACTGCATTCAGTTTTTCCTGAAAATGTATGAGATCATTTGTGTAATGTCAAAGATATAAAAATGCATTATACTCTCTTTTTTATAATGAAATTTGACAAATTTTACTTTCTTAAACTGAACAAAATCTCATTGGTGCCAGGTTGTATCACACATTTATTTTTGGTGGTAGTTTTATTCCACGATATAAATTTACTGAATTTCTTTCCTTGAGTTTTGTCTGAGGCGATTAATTTATGTTTTTAAAAATATTTTAAAATCTATAATTTCACACAAATTCATGTTTAATTTAAAATTATTTACTAAAATTCACAAAATATTTACTAGAAACGAATGGCTATAATCCTTAAACACAAGAAACATTAGAAATACAAAGGCAGACGATACATTACTGTGAACAGGTCCAAACAGCATTAATCAAATACAAAAAAGAGAAAACAAAATATGTACAAAACTATGTATGTCAAAAATGAAGACAAATTCAATACTTCACTCACTGAGGAAAATGGCAGGAAAAATCCCTTCAACAATTCAGAGGTAAAATATTTTGAGGTATGAGCGTTCATGTATTTATTGATATAGTTTGGACTCAAATATGTAAACAAACATTTCTAACACAATCATACATACAGTATTACGTCAGTATTATCCTCATGTAAACACTTCATATACAAAAATGTAAAGAAAATAATATGTACAACATTATAAGTCTGAGACCATGTAGGCACAGTGAATTGGCACACTTTCTTTGAAATGTGTTTGGTAGAGTAGTAAATAACTCTTTGGTGCATAAAAACTGCAGCCGCTGGGAGGTAACTAGCAAGCAAGGTAATCGTTCATCCATTTCCAGTCAGTTTAGGATTTTATCATCAGCCTCTCCACCTACTGCTACTCTCACTATCAGAGTAGTCAAGAAAATCTCCAAAATGTCCCTTTTTCAGGGAGAGATAAAAACAGCTTTGATTTCAACTTGAGGCTTTTTCCAGTTTACCCAATGTGGTTTTAAAAATGTTTTCAATGAACATTTCTAATGTATTATGTAATTTCCTTATTTGAGTAGTCAATTACTTTAATTAATCAAATTACAGAATAAAAATATGTAACTCAATACAGTATATACATTGTACACAGCATAAGCACACATATTTTTACAAGCATACAAAGTAAAAAGCATGAATTCAACAGCTACAATTAAAGTAAAAAAATAAATACCTTCCTACAGTATATGAACGATGGATTCATTTCAGATGCAGCTCGTCTCTAATAACATCTAATGGTGAAGAGATATGGCTGACATTCAACTCGAGTGCTGAATTTGACAGCACTGTACCACTACATCTTTCTATAAACATTTAAGCTGTGTGTATGCCAATCAGAATATTTCACTATATGTGCCACTATGCAGATGATACACTGGTTTATGATATAAACCAGTGTATCATCTGCACTAAGGATTTTACTAGGTTAAAATGTGTGATCATTTGCCATAAATGATGATTAAAAGATTTTCTCAAATTTAACCGTTTAAATTCTTGTCACTCAGATTTAGCAGGTTTTTGGTCCATTAGAATGTATTTGGGTGCAATTTTCAAATTATACCTCACTTATAATTGAGCTGTTGGGTCCCCCACTGCACCTTTTCCCACAGGAATTGTCAGCTGGGCCTATCGACTGTCGCAAAGTCTTAATACAAAAAGTGATTGAGCAGTGTTGCCCCAATGTCAGACTGGCCACAAATCATACATTTTGGGAAATTAATTAAGCTTTACTTTTTTTAGTCAGGGACTCTAACACTGTTTTCTTATGTCTAATGTAATAAAGTGTAATGTATATTTTTATATGCCATGAATCTGCTAAAATAAACAAATATATACATATTTCCAGTTTTCAATTGTAAACATAGCTAGTTTCCTTGTCTCCTCTTCATTTTTTCTCTGCAAAGCTATCTTAAAATGTTCAATGTTGTTATAAATGACAACAGTTCTGTCTCTTGTGTCTTATTTCATTGTTGGTATCTGAATGATAAACTTCTTTTGTTTTCTTTCTTAAATGTAAAGTAATATATACATTTTTGAAAATAACTTTCACATGTCAGATGATCTGTCTGGAGTGATGGTGCTGGCTTCTTTGGATTTATATTTTCCAGTCTCTGAATGAAGGTGATGCTGAGAAAAACCTGTGAGGGAGAATGGAAAATGTTTAGGGATAAGAAACATTCTGAGGACATTTTGTTATAGTTTTAATATACGTACTTACCGCCAGTCTAATTGGCAATCTTACCTGTTTGTGCGCCACCATTCATTCTAGCCTGACACCCAGCTATGTGTGGTGGTCTTCACCCTCTGGGGAAACCCATGAGGCGCAGCTGCTGTGTCAAAGTTAAAGTCTAACGCCCCACCATCCATGAGGGTGTCATGGAGGACAGTCTCCATGTCACATTCAAACCTCTCAAGGGACATGTTGTCCAGGTCACTGGGCAGCCGCTCCTGATGATGACCATGTGGGTGAACTGAGTTAAGTTCCCTGTAGCCATTGTTGCTGCCGTAGCTTGCGGAGACATCATTAGTGTGTGCTGGGTGTCCACGGGGCAGCTGCATGCATGTCCTCAGGCTGGTCATTCGAGGAGGGGCCCCTGAAAGACTAGTCAGGGGGATCATGTTACAGCTATTCAAGTCTCGTGAGGTTGAAGAACCCTGGCTATGTATAACTTGTGGATTAACATGAGGAACTGGGTGACTCTGTAGAGGATTCATCATTTTGACTCCATTATGACCCCCCATGTGGCTCTGACTGCTGTAAGTGGGCATTAGGCAACCTACCCTCCCAACCTGAGGCACATGTGTATCCCTAGAGGGCATCATGTCCCTACTGGTATCTGCATCTGAGGTCAGCAGCTCTTTGAGGAGGCCAGCGGGGCAGATATACTGGTTCTCATAAGCCCTAAAGCCCGGCTTAGTCTCTGGGAGTGTCTGCATGGGAGCAGGGGACAGGGAGTTCATCCTCACCTGGCTGTACATGCACTTACGGTAGTCCTGCTGTGGGAGCGGGGTCAAGCCAGTGGAGCTGTAAGGGCTACTCTGAAGCATAGCAGCATTTGGGGAACGTGAAGAGTCAGAACCCAGCTGGGGGGCTTTAGGGGACAGCAAGTTCAAGTTATCCAGCAGACTTTCCATGACAATCTCTGAACCATGTTGGCCCATGGATCCAGTCACCTCGGACAGGCTAGGCAGGGTGGAGGTTATCTTGGTCCCCGGCGCTCCAGGATACATCATGTGGCCATCAGACTCACCCAGGTCATCCTGTTCAGAAGGGAAAGGTGAATGGCGACCACTTAGGGTGCTGGCGTCAGAGCTGGCGCGTGTCCTAAAGGAACTCCACGCTTCGAAGTCCTCGTTACTGTGGGAGTGTGGGCTCCCCAGCCAGTTAGAGTACTGGGAACCAGGGCTGCCCGCTCCTCTCTCAACCCCTTCCTGTAGAGCCATCTAAGGATAGAAAAATATGAAAAGCTCAAACAGGTTGCCATGAAAGATTACCAGTGCATTATTCTAAAATGTCAAACTATATTCAGCAGAATTTTAAGAAAAAATGTATGGCCAAACTATACAGATCGAAGTTTGAATGTGAGTATAGTGTTAATAAAAGGGGGACTGTACCTTTTTCTTTGTGGCTCTTCCTCTGCTCTTGGCAAACTTACTGTTGTTGTCCATAGAGACAGCTCTACGTCGAGGTGACTTTCCGCTTTTTCCCCCCTCTGGGTTCAGCATCCACCAAGAACTTTTTCCTGTTCCCTCATTCTGTATGCGTACAAAGCGGCTGTGCAGAGACAAGTTGTGTCTGATGGAGTTCTGGATGGGAAGAAGGGAATCACATGTCAATTATTTGTGGATGTCACAGTTATTTCTAGGCTACAATGTGGCTAGGGGCATCAAAATAACTCCACAACTGGATTTATTTAATGATTTTCTTATGATATTGGGCAACAAGTTGGTCAATGTTTTCCTTATAAATGACCCCTAAATATTCCAGTACATCCATAAAGTGCTGTTTAAAGGCATGAAAGTCATGTAATGCAAATAAATGCTGACCCTCTGGTCTAAAAAGAAGAAACTGTGAGTTATTCCTGGTTGCTTTTTAGTGGGAATTAAATGAGAATGTGTATTGCTGCAGGGGGAACGTTTGTCATTTTCCATAAAGAGTGGTGAAGAAGCTGGTAGTAAGTAAGTAAGTGCATATGTCTATATCTTCGTTAACAATATTGTGTCTACCGATCTTTTTCCACTCCCTATTCACGCTCTCCAGTAAAAGACATTGGTTACTTTGGCATGAAGGAGCGAGGGATGTGCGGGGTATGTGGTGTCATTTATTTTACACTAAATAAATATTTGGTACTTTTGCAAGACAGATGTTAGTACAGCCAGAGTTCAGCATATGTTACTGAATATGATGACAGACAAAAAAGAAGATGGCTTTAAACAGACAAAAGCACAATAAGTACGCACATACAGTACAGTATATCCTAGTAGCATTTTAGTGCATTTTGACTTATGGCCTAATTAAAAGTGGAAACTCTTACAGGTGAAATGATTGGAAGGGAATGGTAGACATGATAAGGAAACTGCATCATACATCTGGCTGAAGACATAAAACTATACTGTTGATGCGATTTTCACATGACTTGCATTGAGTCTCAAGCATGATTTGCAGACTAAGCATCTTCTTGTATAACATTAAAATGTGGTAAAAGTTTATGTCATCAAGCTTTTATCATCCTTTAATCGCTTGTAGTTAAGGCTGTGAAACTGGCTTGCTTTGACAAGTCCTATATTAGAATTTATTAGTGTGGTCATCCTACTCCCACCCCACTGCCCTATCCCACCCTTCTTTGCAGCAGCTCTGCTCTGTCAAACTTTAAAAACAGAACAGAGAAAACAAGAATGGGTGAGTTTAGAAGACATGTTAAAGAACATATTTAACATCTCTTTACATTACATAAATGTACCTACAGTAAACTGACGATGACTTTAGCTGACTGCTGACAAATACAAAATCTGAATTGTCACTGTTGGTTAAATGTATGCATGCATCATCCAAATGTCTCTGGGCATCTGTGTCTCAAACCCAGCATACTAAAACTATGCTGCTGAAAGAGCACATTCAAGAAAATCTCATGAATAAAACTTTGGGTTTAACCACCTTGCACTTTATTTTCTATGTGGTCACATTTGTCCTTGTGCTAACATGTATACACCTAAAGCCTCATTCAGTCAATTTTCTCTAATGCTATGTTATGAACCCTAAAAAGGATACAGAGGCGCCTCCTGCGGTACTTCTCTCAGGAAGAAAAACAACGATGGTTGAGGAGCAGAGAGACAGTCACACGGGAGACAGACGTACTGTACAGCCTGATCTCTCTGGACAAAATCTTCCTAATATGTGACTTGCTGGATGGTGGGTACAATAAAAGACCAATGTGCAATACAAGACGTACTAGCAGGGAATTTCCCTTGAATACCCATGTGAATGCAAAAGCAGCTCCCTGCAGTTAGTGAAGCCAGATGTCCCTAACCACAGGATTCAACAGGGATATACAAAGCATGGAGATAAAGACACTCACATTTAAAACAATAGACGGATTGTCTGAGTGTGTCTCTGAAATGTTGGTCTTGGGTTGGGTTTTAGGATTTCAGCAAATGCATTCAATGCCTATTAATCACCAGTATATGACTCATATTCCATCATATTAAAACAATATAATTAGGTCTCATTTAATTTAGATTTATTACCCATTTAATTTAAAGAATATCAACATTCATAACTTTCTAACAGAAACAAACCATGATTTCATACGGAGGATTGCTTTTTTAAAGCGATACATACATTTTCAATTATTTTATGTAGCTGCATAACCAGAGTGACACTTCAAATAATTGTAGCAATAGAACAAGCTTAAAAATATGGTATGGTATAATATTATTTTGGATGACTGTCCCCATACAAAGGCACTGAACCACAGCAACTTCAACCTCAAACTATACATCAACAGCAGCCTTGTGAAGCCTGATCCTGAGTGGAGGCAGTGGCCTGTACATGAATGAGACATTTTTTTACTGAAAAAGAGAGCGAGGGGAGGTTACAGAGTTCGAAGTGAGGCTTGGGAGGGTGACAGAGTGAGATGTTTTTGCCGGGAGAGCTAGGGTCAATGAGTTCACTGTGTGCTCCGCAGCCAGCACTGACAGAGACATGCTAACAGGTTGGATGGAGCAAGAACAGAGCGAGGAGAAGAAGCATCAGATGTGACGTGCTGGGTCGGACTGTCTGCTCTCTGACTCACCACAACAGAACCCCCCATCCCCCTCTCCTGAACCGGACCCCTCCCTTCTCTTCCACTGACTTTTAAATAAGGCTTCCTGTGTCAGAGGACATCCTGCACATGCAGACTTGAGGTGGAGTATACACTCACTATTGCATGGCCACAGCATGCAATGATCAATCTGACTTGTCTGCATTTGATTCATGACCTTTTCTCTACGTTTTTTTTATCTTTTTATGTGATCACAATCTGTAACCGAAGACAGGAAATGAGTCATTAGTGGAGGACCTGAGACCTGTGCAGTGTGCTGCACACCAACTTTTATTCCACTAACCAAATGACATGTCTTGCTCACACACGACTGAGATCACTAGTGATATGCAAATATCTACAGCTTCTGATTGGAGCCCACAATAGATCATGGACTGCATGACTGGGTCCTGGGAAGGACTATTCTCTACTCGGCCTGGGATAATCCTTGTCTCAGACAGACCTCACCTCAGCCCTAAGAGAACAAAAGGCATCCCCTGCCTCACTAATTCAGGAGGTGCCCCACTCACACATTATTCCTCTGAAAGCCGACCCAGGGCGGCCTATTATTGTTGCTAAACTTCTTTATAAAACATGTTGTTATGGCCCTCACTTTTAACTGACTTTGAAATAGTAAAATATGTGCACCTGTAGCTGTGTGACAGTTCATGTGAATGTGGGGAAGAAAGAAATCTATATGATCTCCATAACCTTTTCTTGGTGACCAGGGGAGTTCCCAGGCACAGATTATGGAGGCCTGTAAGTGACAGAAATGTTTAAGAGAGACCTACTGAATAACTGTTGACTCATCTATTGTAATATAATGCTGCTTTGCCATAGCCATTTGCCGCTCTTGACTTGAGGACAAAATATCTTATGCTGTGTTTGTGTGAGGGGTCGGTCGATTGATGTCTGTGAACTTAAATAAAAAAGTAAATTCTGCATCATTGCTAGATTTGCAGAAACCAACAGATTCTTGCTCCTAGTCTTTAATGGATCGGTGCTCAGAAAATATATTGTTCTCTTTCCCATCTGTGAAGAAATAACATTTCTTGTTGCATCTGGTACAAACTGGGACTACATTGAAGAATATGTAAGTTTTAACGTCACACTGGTCAGCTGGTGCAAGAACGTTGGACATGGGAAAGGTCTTTTTGCTTCTGACAAAATCTATTTTCAGTCTGAACAGTACAAGCTGTAAATACAGTGCAGCAGACACCAGTTGTCTCTCTAGCTGTCTAGCTGTCTCTTTGAGCCCAACTCAGATACATGGTAGCACTTAGAAAACCATTATGGAGAATCATCCACCATTTTACATCTCTTCAAATGTACCCAGTGATCTTTGAATCATCTGTGATCAATATCATCAAAACAAACCGCTGCAGCATGAAATGACTCCTCCTACTGGACTTCAAAACAATCAAACTGACACAGCTGCTGTTCCTTGTGTAGTGAAGCATGAGGCTTGCAGTAACGGTCGCAGGATAAGTAAACAAACAGGGCCCGGTTGCAGGGACAGGTGCAGCCACAGTGAAAGTGGCCTCACTTGCAACTGGTCCAAGCGTTTTACATACAGCACCAGACACAACCACAGACAGGACCGAGGATCCCCCAGGAGACCGACTGCCGGAGAGAAGCTGCTATCAGTAACTCAGTTTCATATCAGTGATGAGGCCTGATGTTTAGTTAGTGATCAGAGACTGGAGGGAAAAAGGAAACATACAGTGGCCTCATGCAGCTACAGTTATCACAGGTGAGACTATGTAACTTTGAAATAATAATTCATAAATACACAGACATAATTTTGCACTCTAACATGACCTTTCTATACTTATTCTACTTCTATACTCAGTTTTAGCATGTCACAGATGAACATTTCAAGGCTTTTATCACAGAAGTAAAACAAGAAGTAAACACCTTTATTGAAATGCTCATCTGTGACATGCTAAACTAACTTTAGCTCATATTAGCCACCATTAGCTTCAGATCAAGTAAGGCTGTAGCAGCAAATCCCTTGGGTGCAACATATTTTTCTATTTTAGTATTTAGTGTTGTGTAACCTTTTTTTTATTTTATTTTCTTACTTCTAATCAGAGATCCACTGACCTCGACGCTGGGTGCAGCCGCCCTCAGAGCATTGTTATTGTTAGGAAAACATGTGGAAAATTGTGCATAAATCAAAATCACGTTAACAGCAAAGTAAGGAAGCATGCTAATCTTTTTAGCTGCCATTGAGCAGATCAGCTGGGGCAAACTTGTGTAGCTCACAAAGTCACATGCACAGAGCGGTTTTCTATTAGTGGTATGTGGGTGATATGTCCGAAATTAGCATCACACTATTAATAATCATTTTTATAGTGACATATATCATGATATGGCAAATGTATGCATTCACAAATAAAATAATAAAACTGATGCTCAGCGTGTTCCTACACAAGAGTGCATTACAGCAGATATAACACATTTTGTTAATTTTTCCAAAACTATGAAACAATATGTTCATGT